GTTATAAAACTTGGGTGGATTCATCTCCCCATCTTCAAATAATTAAAGTAGAAGATTTTATCGATGGCATGGGAGAATTTTTCTTTTTTTCCCAAGCTCAAATTCCATGGACCTAGTCATGGAACATAGAAATTAATCGAGACTCATTGAATCTGAAAAGTCTCATGCACAATTTTTTCGTCAAATGGTCGCCTGCCATTATTATTGATGATAAAAAGAAGCAGATTGATAAGGTTATTCAAAATAATCTCATCAAAAATCAAAGGCAACCTCTTGCTGTAGAATTTTCCTGAAAAGATATGCATAAAATATTTAAACAACGATACCCACATGAATCTCCTGAACAAATCAAAGCACGACTTCAAAAGGCTTATTGGAAGCAGATGACCCAATTATTTCCAGATGACGAAGACATGATGTCGCAACGTTCTGATGATACGACCCCAAACACATGAGACCCTTAGTCGCTCAAGCCCGAGGATACAGGACCAAGTCATCGTCCTGGCAAAGCTCCATTATCAGAAGAAACATACGACTTTTAATAAAGGCAGCACTAAAGGCAGCATCATGGGATCAATAATTCCATCTTTATGACGTGTTATATTCTCAATTACAAAGGAAGGCCATTAGTCACCAACAAGTTATAATGAAGAACTAACTTTTTACTTTAATAGTTATACTACATATATCTTTAATAATTGTACTGCTTTCTTCTTAGCGCCCAGCATCATGGGATCAATAAAATATTAGATAAAAAATAGCTCCAGCATTTCTTGGCGCCCTAAATTAAATATTATATTAAGTATTTTTGAATTAAAATTTTATTTTGAAATTATTTTCAATATATAATTTAAAAAAATCTTAAAATACATATATATTAAAATTTGGGAGTTTCCTTTGAAATTTCAAACATGGGCTATTGCATATGAATAGAATTCATGGGGAAGAATTAGTGGATAATTGTATACCAATTATTTACTAATCAAGTAGCTAATTAAATTAATTATTATTGCTTAATTCTTTTGTAGTTTTAGGATACACGAGTACTTAACTTAAGCTCTCATAGTTCTAAGGACATATTTATGATGATGTGTTGCATCTTCCCTTTATGTTACCCCATGGCTAGTCTTGACATTTAATTTAACCATATTTAACCTAGCAACATCCTAAGGACAATAATTAAGGATCAATCTAGAAAATTTAGAGAAATTCTAAGGACTATGATACATATCGAAGTGACATAAAACTTGAATAATTTAACTTAGTGACACTTCAAACCCCCTAGAATTTTTTTGGTACCCTTTAAGCTGTTTAATTAACAAACCCTGATTTAATATTTAATTAAACCCCGATAATTTGAAAAATTCAAATAAATTTAAATTAAATCTAAAAATTACTAATAATACATCAAACTCTTCAGAATTTAACCCCTAATACAGAAAAATTAGAAGCCCTTTAGTTAGACCTTAATTTAAACATTAATTTAATTTGGATTAAAATTCATCCCTTTGATTAAACTAAATAATTAAAAATTATTAAAATTCCAAAATTTTCCCAAACACCTTGGAACTCTTCCTTGGGTCATTCCTGACGTTTAAATGGGATTTTAAGAGGTTTGAGACTAATTTGGATATAATTCCCTAAAATATCCCTAATTAAGTAATTTTAATAATTCGTTAAATATCCTAAATTTTAAAAATCATAACTAATTCAAAAAAAAAATCCAAATTGAAGAAACTAAAAGACATTCACTCCAATTAAAATCTAGTATTTATTAAAAATATGATATTTTTAAAAATCAACCCAAATTAAAATGTCAACTCCTTAGTCAACCGTAGTTCGATAATTAAGTTTGAAACTTCTAAAAATCATAACTTTGCATAGAAAACTTCAAATCCAGCAAACTCAAAGTCTAATTACTCCTTTTAAGGTATAATATTTAATAAAAATACTAGGATTCTAGAACAAACATGTTTTTAAAAGTTACTTTTAGTCCCCATTGACCTAGCGAATAGGATGATGACGACCTTCTAAAATCTGTTAACTCAACTTAAATTTTTGAAAACAATACCCTAAGCATTAAAATTAATGTACAAACTAAATTAATTAAAATTGACGTCAAGATATTAATATTTAAATTTTAATTAAAACTCCTCTCTAACCTCCAACAAATTGCATCAAAATAACATAAACTAACTAACCGATATAGGACATACCCAATACCACATAGCCTACTACACACACATATAATTATCTGCTGGGGCACTACTTCTAGCTTTAGGCTAGGCCAATTTTTCTTTATGTTTCTATGATGTGACAAATTGCATGTGGCACGTATGTTGGTTGCTTTGATTTGCTCTGATAAATGTTGTGATGAGCTTTATATTATATTATATTTTATCATGAGATGTTCCATAGATTACCACTAGGTTAGGAGCGATCATGCTACTGACGATGTTTTCTGCAATTGGCCATGCTCATGCAGCACTAAAAGAGGGCTAAATAAATAAATCATAAATATAGAACCGCTACAGGTGCTTCAGCCACTTAGCACCGAAATAAATAAGAACATGGCCAACTGTGGGTGGCATGAGTACTTTTTATTTCCATATATAACTACTTTTGATGTTTTACTTTAATTACTTAAGATAACTTTACAGGAGAGTCTATTTTTTTTTCTTTTTCATGATGTAATGTATTTGATGTATTGAGTTGTAAAAGTTTATAAAAATAAGATATTTCAAATATAAGGGATCCAAAGAGAAAAGAAAACCCCTTGAGAGGAATTTCTTTTTATTTGGATATCCTTCTAGAGGACGAATCATAAAAAGACTGAAAGGAGACGATTCATAGAAGAACCAAAAGATGAAAATGAAGACGAAATGCATTTTTTTAAGACTTGCATCATTTAGTAGGATTAGAATCCAAGTTTTTGTCGATGAAACCTGGCCACAATTACTTTTTTGCAAACTCTAGGTTATACTTTATATGACACTTGTGATAAGTGGCTGAATGCATTAGCTAGGATACGGGTGATAGTGTTGTGTGTAGAACACTAAACCCACTTTAGATTTAGGGTTCAAGATTATTACTGTCGGTGTTCTATAGTATGGTGAGTAAGTCCTCTATCCTTTAGAGACTATAAATCTCACCTATCACATCACATGGATGATGCTGCCTCCATCTTTCTCTCTTGTATGCTCAGAGTGCAATATGATTACTTTCCTCTAGTTTATTTTCACTATCCTATTCCCTCCGAAAGATGATATGAGCTATGTATGTTGACTAAGCCAAGTTGAACCTTTCTATCCCCTTGAATAGAAAGTTTCTAGACTCCTCCCTGTGTCAATCTCATCTGAGAGAATAATGTATAATCCTTAATCGAGTAGTCTTCTTAGGCCCCGACGTGAGATGTAATTAACCACGGGACTTGCGTCTGTGGGAAACCAAATCCCACATCAAATAAATCTTACTCAAGTGGATGTATCAGGTGAGGAAAATCTCATGACTTTGATTAGGTCACGCATATTATTACCCATACAGATGTGTAGGCGAAAATCATTATCCTTAATAGTTAATTGTATGTGTGATCTAATCTGCCCTCCTATTGACCCACTTTCAAAGACTGCATAGGATTGCGACCGTTTTGTCCTACATGATAGTGTGATCGTACCATTTACATCTGCCCCCACCGAGCAGTGTCTTTTCGGAGGTCCACAGTGTTGCATTTTCCTTGTTTATTAGGTGGTTGGTGCTGTTGGGGAAAAATTATTACGTCCAGCGTGTGGATTCATCCAGACGCGCCACGTCATCCGAGTCCCAGTGTATCTGGGTGATGTGGCGTATCTGGATTAGCCTCCGAATGATCCGGACATCGCACATAATAATCCCTCACTGTTGGGGGCCCGGTTGTTGGGTGTCGTTTCTTCTTGGGGTTTTCTTTTATTTTGGTTTTGCTAGTTGTGTGGTTCCTTGGTGGCTTCTGGTTGTCTGTATCAATTTTTAGGCCTGCTCTTTGTTTGTAGGGTTATTTCTCTTTTTCTGGCTGGTTGCTCCTTTTAATCGTCTTGTTTTTGGATTAGTTGTTGCATGTTTGCATTGGCTTATTTTTTATGGATTTAATGTTGCTATATTCGATTAGGCTACTGGCTTCTTCCCCCTTCTGTTGTTTTGGATCATGGATCTCATCTTTGGATTCATCTCTTGTGTCATGGTTGTTGTTTCTTTGGACATTGGCCTATCTTTTTGGGCTCCCAGCTTTTTTCCTTCCTTTATTTTCTCGTTTAAGTAGTACGGATCATTGGCTCATAGATTTTATTTTCCTTCTATTGTAGCTATTCAAGCATTAGAAAGCTTTTGAATTGTTTAAGGACTTATATCTTTTTTTAATTAATGCATAAGCGTCTATGTGGGTTTTAACTAAAAGAATATATATGTGTGTGTGTCCCTTTTTTAATTAATGTGCGTGTGTCAATAGTTTAATCATTAGAGCTTAATCTGATTTTGAGAGAATTAAGCTTTGATAACAGCTGAGGAGGAAATTTGAGAGAAAATATTTGGAGGCAATATTCATGTAATTTGTAGCCATTCTGATAAGAACACCATCACTCCTGATTCAAACAAAACAAAATAAGTTTTTGGTGTCTATTTGGTTTATATTCTCTTTCTCATTTATGTATATGTCAAACTCATCATTCTCAATTCTGGTAACTCTTACTCAAAGTGCCTTTTGGTGCCCTCTTTACATAACCATTTTTTAATCATTTATTTGACTATTACATAGTCTAATACTTTGAATTCAACAAATTTTAACATAGAATTAAATATCATTAACAAAATGAGATGTCAGGAAACATAATAGCAAAGTATTTGTCAACAATATAACATTACTTGTGGCTGTTAGCGACTTAAACATTCTAAATATATAGAAAATGTTAAGACTTTATCTAAACTTTTCATAAAAGCTATCATACTAAAAGCATAATGAATAATCTGATTTTAATACTTGACAAAGAAAATGTTTACTCATGAACAGCACAATTTCGTTATAAAAAATTTACCCTAATTTCAGAGACGGATCAGCGCTCTCGTTGAGATCTTGAGATCCACCCAAGTGTGAAATATTGCTAACACATTCAGATGATTGTCCATCTTCAATTACAGCATTTTCCGCGATCTCTGGATCAGTATTACCAGCAACAGATTCCCATGTCGTTTCAACATGCAACGCTGATATCTACATTAGAATAAGTTTATGATGTTGAAGCTGTATCTTGATTATATATGTTAATAATACATTCATGAATCAAACAAATAAACAGCTACTTGGTTCCTCAATCGTGCATTTTCTTCAATCAATTTCAATCCCTGCAAAAAAGATTCAACATATAACATATCACAACATTATTCAGCTTGGATAACTTGAGTAGTTCTAATTACTTTAAAAGAGGAATATAGATGTGGATTCCACCTTTTGTTGAAGATCATTGATCTGCTCTACAATCTTTTGTTCCTGAAGGTTATTTAAAGGATGGAGACTTAATGAAGTTATGTAAATAATACAAACAAAGAATAACAAAAAACAAAAACTTTATGATTACTTTTGAGTGTTACCTTTTTCTCCAGCACACGACTAAGTCCACATTCTAAGGTGCTTTCTATCTTCTGCAGTTGCTCAATGTCAAGATTTTCAATATTTTCTCCCCTCAGGTTCCTACCAAATTCATGTCAACATAGAAGTGTATAAAATTAACAAATTCTGCTCAAATTTCACACACGCACACACACACACACAGAGAGAGAGAGAGAGAGAGAGAGACCGGAGTTGTATGGTTAGTTCAGCAGCTTGTTTGTTTAATCTTGCACCATCATCACTGTTGTCAAGCTAAAAGACAACATTCAAATGCCAATATACAGATATGACTATAAAAGAGGCAGGCCAATTCAATATAAAGCAATAAGAAAATATAGTCTTAGATGAGTAAAACGACAAATTTTTGAAAAAAAACATGTCACAATTATAATACTCCTGCACACATTCCGAAATATTTCAGTTTGATAAACTTTAGAATTTGCAAGTACATTCCTTTGATAAAAATAGTTTCTGGTTGAAATAATATTTTGGCATAATATTATGAGTAATATAGCTACATTTCATCAAATAGATGATAAAAAGAAAGAAATTTCTCTGCAAAAAAATAAAAATTTAGTAACATTTAGACCAATGTAACAGAAAGAAATATATTTTTAAATAGCTTACTTGCAAAACAAGCGATGGTTGATCCACTCTTGGTATGTTCTTTGATTGCAAACTATGCTTTTCAATGATTTCCTTCATACTTCAAGAAAGAAAGTAGAAGAATGGACTTAGCATAAGAGCCAGCCTTTTCATTTTCTTTTTTTTTTTTCCAAGCTTATAAAGAGTAACTTTCAATTGATCATCAAAACTACCTTAATTAAAGAATTACCACCTCAAGAGAGTCTACGCAACAAATATTATTTCAGGCAATGTCTTTTTCTAATTACAAAAGTACCATTTGAAAATGCATCATCTTGAAAAATCTTATTCAAAAAAGCTAAAATAATATTTCGTCTAATTTTCAATCCAATATAATTTTTTTTAAACTAATTTTTTAATATCCTTGGTGTTATAAACCAAACACTACGACAAAATAGAGATTTTTTGGTGACGATATTGATAGAACTGTGCCACTGAAATCTCCGATGGAAGCAATCGCCGACACTATTTAGAGATTTTTATGGCAAAACTTTTGATAGAAATTATGGTATATTTATTTTCCCATTACCAACAATTTCGCTTTCTCAACTTCCTCCACACCCCCAGCCCCAGCCCCTACCCCTTTTCTTTTGCCCTATTTCACCTAAAGATCGTCCTATGGCCATTATGGGTGATTTTTTGTCAAATTGCTTTGATTGATTGTCAATATAAAGGTGCATCACATTCCATACCTTCTATAAGAGATTTAACCCAATAGTTTTTCTGGTTATATTTGCAAAATTTTGGGTTTATTTATTTATTTATTTATTACATTGTTAGATATGAATTTTTTTTTAGAAGATATGAATATTTATTACAAATATTTATAAATATATTTTTTTAGATTCAAATTCTATCTTGGATCTATAAAATTGTTTACATGTCGAGTTGAGTGAAGTATACATATATTTTAATGTGAAGGACTAAGGATTTTTTTTATATATATTTTAATTTGTAGCACAATAAAACTATTTTCTTGTTAGATTTAGATTAGTAAGGTCATTTATTTATTTTATGGCCAGATTCAGGTTAGTGATATTATATGTTGTTTGATTTGCAATGCAATAAAATTTATTAGATATGAAATTGTTAAGTTATATATATGACAATATAAAATAAGAATAAAATACAAAATCCTACTATTGTATTCATTAAATTTATTTTCGTTAATGTTCATAAGATGTAATTGTTCATCATGCAAGCATATGAAAGATCGAGGACACGATGACATGAATAAGTAAATACTTTAGTTATAACTTAATTTTCACCATTATTGAATGCATCCAATATGCATACAATAACTTAATCATTTAGTTTGAGGTCGATTGAAATATTCTATGTGGTACAAATCATACACAAGATTAGCAAGGTTAGTAAAAAATTCTATTTAATTTAAAAACTTTGTTTATCCGTAAGGATTAGTAAAATTTAAATAAAATAAAATAAAAATTTAATTGATAGTTATGTGTATACATTTCATATTTCTTAGTAGTAAATATGTGATATATTTAGCCCTTAAATAAATGTAGTGAATTGATATCCAAAGTTAAGGATTGTGGATGTATAATAAACAGTGATTTACTTGGATGTGAGAAGATTGTTGACCATATCTCTTTCCCCCAAGTTATTCCCTCTCTCATTTCCTCTGTTGATAATGCTAATCTTTCAAAATGGCATGATGATCTTGAAATTTTTAATTCTCTTATGGATATGAAATAATTTCTATGGCTAGCTCAGATGATTTCATTATCCTATTTTTTCCAAAAATGCTGGTATATTATAAAAGAGGATATTTGCGAAGAAGACCTATTTTTTCCCCCAAAAAATTGCCTTAAATTTTTTGCTAGCACTTCTATTGTTTTAATTCTTAAGACTATTAATCCTGAGTTTTGGAATGATTTTAGACCCATAAGCTTTTGTACTACCTTTCATAATTCCAAAATTTTGGTTTCTAGAGTGAACTCTAAAATCATTTCTATAAATCAAACTCGCTTTGTCAAAGTTAGAAACAAAGCTGATAATATCCTGCTTTCCCAAGAGTCTTATTCATGATATCAACAAGAAGATCTCTGGGCACAATTTAATCTTTAAATTGGATATCACCAAAGAGTATGATAATATTAATTAAAAATTTATCCTCAAAATGCTTGATCTTTTTGGCTTTGATGGCAATTTTATTAATCTTATTAAAATATTATTGAGAATGTCTTGTTTTCTATTATTGGAATGGCAAATCCAAAGGTTTTCTTAAAGCTGGTCAAGGAATAGACAAGAGGATCCTTTATCTCCTACTTTCTACATCATTTCTACCGAATATTTATCCAGAGGCTTAACTCATTTGTATTCTTGTTATAAAAGCATTGCTTCTAAGAATTCTGAAGGTTTAAACACTTCTCACCTTTGCTTTGTTAATGACATCATTATATTTTGCAATGGGTCCTTGAGTAGTATTAAAAAATTTATAATTTATTATGCCTTTTGAAAAAAATTGGGCTGAATTTCAATCAGTCTAAAAGTTCTTTTATTGCTGGTGAAGACATGTTTGTGCTTCAATGTAATAATATCAATAGAATTACTAGTTTCTGCAAGCAATCCCTTCCTATCTATTGCTTGGGTACTCCTCTTCACAAAGAGCATAGGAAATCTTCCCTGTTAGATAAGATGTTCTCTTGCATTTCTAATAAACTTTATGCTTGGGAATACAAGTTTCTCTCTATGGGGGCAGAACTGTGCTTATTAAGAGTGTTTTTTGTTCCATTCCAATTCATTTACTTAAAACCATTAACCCTATTGTGGAGGTTCACAATTGATTGGATAGCATGATTAACAAGTTTTTTGGGGTTTTCCTCGAATAAGAAAAAACCTCATTGGTCTAATTAGGTCTCTTGTAATGTTACTTTAAAAGAACGGGTTAGGATGCAAATCTACAACATATATGGTTAACAGTTTCTCTTACAAACTTTGGTGAACATTAAGAAATAGTGACTCTCTTTGGGCCAAGTTCATGAACATTAAATATTGTCATAACATGCATCCTACTTTATGTTCCTTTAAAAGAGATCAATCTGGTGATTGGAACAAATTTGTAAGTTTAAATGGTTTCACTACAGGAAAATCATCCATTTCCGACGAAAATTGAACATTTTCCGGCGGTTTTGTAGTTTTCCGGCGGTTAATTTACCGCCGGTAAAAACGGCGTAGTCTAAATGTGTTTATAATATCAACATTAATTATTTAAACTATATTCTTACCGTAAATAAATAAATTTTTAAATATTAATTTAAAATAAAAAATTAACTACCTAATTAAATTTAAAATAAAAAATAATATTTAATATAAAATAAAAATGAATATAACTTTTAATAATTATAATTAATATTAATTAAATAGTTAATATAACTTTCAATAGTTATTTGTTAAGTTATTTAAATAGTTTAATTTTTTTTTAATTTTTAAAAGCCCCGGAAAATTGGAAAAGCCGCCGAAAAAGCCGCTGGAAAAGTGGCCGCCAGAAGGCCGCCGAAAACGTTCCGAAAAGCCGCCGGAAAAGATGGTGATTTTTCGCAGGAAGACTTGATTGGAACTGGGTCACTTGACTCAGTTTTCAATACTCATTCTTTAAGGTCTTTAATTTTATTTCGAATGGCAAGTGGTGTATTAACGTTATATTGAATTATCTTCTTCAGAATCTTGTAGATATTATTGCTGAAATTCCCATATAACCCTCTCTTAATGATATTCCTATCTTCAAATTTTCTCAAGATGGTGATTTTAATTTTATATAGATTTAGAATATTTTAGAATTAAAAAGAATCTTTATGTTATTTTTGACAAAATTTGAAATCATTCCACCCCGACTTTTGCTTCTATCCTTTCTTTGAGAATTTCAAAAGACTTCATTTTTGTTGATAGTAAGTTATAGAGAACCCTTAGAGGGAAAAAGGAACTCTATGTTAAAAAAAAAAAAAAAAGTTAGAGAGATCCCTGAGAATCTAGTAGATAACATTGCTATATTTTGGATGCTATGTTTTTCGAATTTTTTTGCTGGTAGTTTATATTGATGCTTTAGTGGAGCTGCCTCTTTTCCTATTTACCAGATTTCTTGGTGATGTTGTTTAGGCTGATTGTGGAGTTTTCTATGCTGTTGTGGCCTGTTGTTGTGACCTCTAGTTTATTTATTTTGTCTTTTGGTGCTAAGCCTTCAGATCTGTTGTGGGTCTACTTAAATCTTGTGTCTTTTGGTTCTCTATTTGGCATATTATCTTTGTGTTATGTTATGTTTGTGTTCGATTGCAGGTAGATGGAATTTTCTGTGCAGGGTGGGTTATATTATTTCCTTGGTTAGCTGATTGCTGTCTTTAGGTTCTATGTTAAATTTTTTTGGTGCCTTGCATATAATCTCTGCATTTTGTCTTGTTTGTGTTCTGTTGTATAGGTGGTTGGAATTGTTTGTGCACAGGGAGGATAATATTATTTCTTTGGTTGGCTGACTGTTTGTGGAGCTCATTCTCTAATTGGCATGTTGTTCCTGCAAGCTAGTAGTTTCTTTTGCTAGTTGTGGAGATTTGTCTATTCTTTTATTGCAGTTTATCATCTTGAAGCTGGGCTATAAAGTTTATTTGAACTTCGACTCTCTTTTTTTGGGTGGTGGCTCCTTGCTGCCTCGTAGGTTTTCTATGTTTTGTTTATTTATTTTGTAATTTAATTGGGATTTTAAGCCCATAGGTTTATTTTTATTTGAATGTAGCTCTTTGAGAATTAGTGGCTCTAGATCATTTTAAGGATTTGTAACCGATTTTTTGAATTAACGTGTGTAGATCCCTCTATGAGTTTTACACCAAAAAAAATCATATGAATCCTTAAATTATGAAACAAGTAACCAAACAATTTACCTAGCTTTAACACCTATTAACTCAAATAATTTGTTTGATTTAAATCAAAAAGTAACTAATAAATATGGATTTACAATATTTACAATATTTTACATGCGTTAAATCCTACTTGCAACTGAACACCCCCTTAAGAATTTAATAAAACATATGGGAGGTTGTTATAGTTTAAAAACATACATGGATATACCTATTTTTTGTAAGTCAATATGTTTATAAATACATACATACATTAATGGTACTAATCTTTTGGATCACAAAAGCCAATCCACCACACAATTAGTTCTTTGAACAACAATCTTCTAATGCAAGATTAAAATTATTAATGTTGATAAAAAACTGAAGAAAAACATGATATAATTTTATCAAATTTTATTAAACTTTTTGCCAAGCTTGATCACTAAATAAATGGCTTGCAAAGTCCTTTGCTAAAAGCAATGCTTTTTTTAATAATAATACAGATAGAAGTGTAAAGAAAAGTGGAAATCTATCTATGCTACGCTTTAAGCTAAGTCATCAGTAGCTCTTGTTTCCAATTTGGTATGAAATTAGCCATATCATCCATTGAGGGATACTTTTTGGGTGGAAATTTTCTTTTGCGAATTTTCTTCCATCAATCTCACACACTCTCCCATTGATAACCTTGAGAGAAGTCTTTTTTTTTTTTAATTAAAACCCACTCATGGGGCCTACATTTTAATTACTTGCAATCAAGTTGTTATATATATTATATTCTCTCTACAAGTTCTCTAAACAATAATCTCTTCAAACAATATGTAAACAAAAACGTATGTATATCATAACATTGCTGTGTGATAGTTCATTATATTACTGTTTTTTTTAATAGTTCATTACTGTTGATAATCACTGACCTAAATAAGAATTTAATAAGCATAATTTCCTTTTTCTCTGTGAATTAATTGCTTAGAAAGTTCTAAAATCTATTTGATTTCAAAACTTTATAAGCCTCCTCTAACTCCCTCGCATGAAAGATCTTATCCCGACACATAAAATAAAAAGGATTGACAATAAAAATCACTATTTCCTTAGCTAAAATTTCAATCCTAAGATACTTTCTGAAAGTCGAAGCTAACCCACACTACTGTGATTTCAGGCCCAGCGTGCACATTTCTACAGTAATATCTGCTAAAGCTACTGTGCTTGTAAAAGTACGTGCGTACGGAAGAAAATAATTTAAGTGAGAATAAGAAACAGTTCTCGACTTATTTATTTCAAATACCAGCATAAATTTATGATTATATTTCTTCAAAATACTGAAAAATAAATAACCCAGAAATTTCATTCTTCATAGATCCGAAATATTTGCAAACAAAACTGACAAAAAAAAAAAAAACTTTTCTTTTTAATATTGTTATAAGGAGAAAAGCAAGAGCAAGATCTATGTAAATATATGTAAATACAGGCATACCTTGAGCTGGAGAACTGAAAAAGTTTTCCTGTAGAAGAAAATATTATAAGACCGACCTCAGCATCACAGAGAATAGCGAGCTCTTGAGCTTTCTTGAACAGCCCTTTCCTCCTCTTCGAAAAGGTCACTTGTCTTGCCGTTGCGTTATCTATCTTTCTTATCTTTATCTTCTCTCTCGCCATTTCCTTCAACCTTACCAAAATAAATAAGAGAGAGAGAGAGAAGAGAGAGAAAGAGAGAGAGAAGAAACAAATAGAGATACAAGTTTACCTTATTTGGGATAGATATATGGATCTGGCGGCGAAGGGCTTGCTTTGTCTGGAAAGCTGAGAAGATATGAGGCTATGGACCGGAAGACTAAAGAGAAGAAGAGGGAAGGAAAAAGGGGCAAGGAGAGAAAAACTAAAGCTTTTTGTGGCAAAATTGCGCTGCTCCATTAATCATCACATTGCCGTATTTGATAGAGCTGTCTCTCTCACTGTGTACGAACGGCAACCTCCAGAATTGAAAGAGGGTTAATGGTGAAAACAGTAAAATGAGTGAAATGTTAATTATAAGAAAATGGTGATTTTTTAGCATTGTTATAGGATGCTATTTTTCTTTGTTTTTTAAGTTAAAATTTAAATTATAAATTAAAGAATGGTATAAATTTGAATTTTATTTTATAAATAAATTTAGAAAGTTATCAACTTTTTTTTTTTTGGTTTGAAAGAAGTTCTTAGGAATTTGTTTATTAAATATTTATATTATATTAATTTTAAAATAACTTAATCAAATTGAAAGTATCTAAATATACACCTGTTAGCACTCAGCAATTCTACAATCAACCATGTAGCTCTCCTAAAGTTATATTTTGATACCAAAAAGGCATAACATTAAGGCTTCCTCCTCCAACACATTATTAGTGAGTAGGAGATACTATAACGACAATACTACAGAACATTCTAAGGACATAGATCATATGATGGTTAAGGTTGTTCTTAGGTCGAACATTTTTTTTTTAATTTTTTTTAATTTATTGTAAAAATAATATATATATATATATATTATAATTATAACTTTCTCATATTATGCTCTTTGAAACGTGAATCAGGACACATTTTCACTTCACAGTCTGTCTCCTAAACCCTAGCGCCGCTCTGGCGATTTAGGGTTCCCCCGTCTCCTTCGTTTCTCCGGCCACTTCCTCCTGGTTTTCGTGTGTTTTTTGTGCGTTTTTCTCACTAGTGCTGTTCGGCTAGTGAGTTCTCTTGCTTTTGGCCCTTCCTGGGCTACGGGTTGATGGCGGGGACCTCCTCCTTGACCCCTTTGGGGAATGTTGCCTCCAAGACGCAAGATCCAAACAAGGGTTTCTTCAACCTGGACCAAGATGTTCCTTCGCCGACCAAATCTTGCTCTTTTAAGGATGTCCTTTCGGGGACACCTTCAGGTGATATCCTTCTTTCACTTACTCAATCTACCTTTAACGGTATGCATGCGGTTCTGATTTCCGATAAAGAAGTTTTAAAGCTTGCATCTCCCTTTCGTTTTACGTTAGTTGGTAAATTTGGTCTCCTAGACCCAATCTTGACGCGATTCGCAATTTTTTCGATAATCTTAAGTTAACAGGATTTTACTCAATGGGTTTGTTAGATTCAAAGCATATTGCCATTCAACTATTCAATGATTTGGACTATAGTCGCGTGTTTGCTCGTCGATCTTACTTTATTCTCAACTGTCAAATGCGCATTTTCAAATGGACTCCTTTTTTTGATGTTAAGGAAGAGTCGCCGATCGTACTCATATGGATTTCTTTTCCAAATTTAAGGCTTCACTTTTTTAACACCAAAGTTTTGTTTGCGCTCGGTTCGATTTTTGGTCGTCCTCTCAAAACGGACCAAGCAACAGCATCAAGAACGCGGCCGTCGGTGGCTAGGGTTCTTGTGGAGGTTAATATTACGAAAAAGTATGCTAAAGAAGTTTGGGTTGGATCTAAAACTTTCAAATATTTACAAAAGGTCAAATTTGAAAAGGTGCCATATTTTTGTACTCATTGCAAACCCCACGGGCATGACTTGGTTGACTGTTTTAAATTGCATTCGGAACTCAAGAAAACTACCAACAACTCCAATGGTAAGGAAACTTCACGGACATTGATATCATTAAGAAGGATTCTATTCCTCCTGTTTCGCTGGACGGTCTCCCATCCAGTGTTGAGAAGGTTGGTAGTCTTCCCATTATTGATACTTCAAGTGGTGAGAAGGTGGATGGTTTAAACAATTTGGAAAATGTTACGGAAATTGAGAATGCTATTGTTTCTATCCCGGCTATAGATTTAGTGAATGAAGATTCTATTGAAGAGTCTGAAAAAAGCCCCAAAATTTTTATTTCTGTTGATTCTATGTTTGAAAAGGAAGTTACTATGGGTGAATCTCTTGCTACGACTATTCATGATAAAGGTAAGGAAGGTATGGAGGATCGTGAAGAAGGGGAGTATATACCTAAATCTAAATTTGATTTTGCTCTTGAAAATAGGAAGGATTTGGGTGATGGGGGTGGCCAAAATAGTGGTTCTTCGTCCGATGGTTGTGAGCTTATTACCAAAAATATTGAAGAGGAAGGATCACCTCAAATGCAAAAGAAAAAAAAAAAGAAACATGAAAAAAATCAAATGCGAGAAACACCTAGATCTACTAGGGCTCAAACTAATCAAAAATATTCTAATGTTTAAAACCCTTATTTGGAATGTGTGGGGGATTGGGGGGAAGGATTCTAAAACTTGTGTTAAGAATTTGTGTCGTATCCATAACATTAATCTGTTGGTGCTTCTTGAACCTTTTGTTTCTTCTGATAAGTTGGCTTTTTTTACTACTCGGTTGGGTTTTAATTCTTGTTTTTCTAACTGTTCAAGAAAAATTTGGATCATGTGGATAAACTTTTTTAATGTTACGGTTATTTCTGACTTTGATCAAGTGGTTCATGCTCACATTTCTTATGATAAGTTTATTTTCAATGCTTCTTTTGTTTATTCTTTATGTACTAGAGTTGGTAGAATTCCTCTTTGGGATTGTTTAGCTGATTTTGCTAATAATGCTAATGGTCCTTGGTGTGTGGGAGGTGATTTTAATATCTTCTCTAATGCTAGTGAGAGGATTGGGGGTAATCCTCCTAATGTGAATGCTATGGATGATTTTAATCAAATGATTTCTAACTACAATTTAATAGAGATTGGTTTTTCTGGTAGTGCTTTTACTTGGTATAGATCCTCCATGTGGCAAAGACTGTATAGAATTATTTTTAACAATGATTGGGTTAACAACTATCATATGACTCATGTTCAACACTTGAGTAAAATGTTATCTGATCATGCTCTGATTCATATGCAAATTTCTGAGAATAATATGAAACCTTCTTTGGCTTTTAGATTTCAAAATATGTGGATTACTCATGCGGATTTCTTAAACGTGGTTGCTAATAATTGGAATGCTACTATTTTTCCTGACAACAATATTTTTGGTATGGCTAGGCTTTGGGCTAAATTAAGTAGACTTAAACAAACTCTTAGGTATTGGAACAAGCATGTTTTTAAAAATATTTTTGATAATATCAAAGAAGATGAAGGTAAGGTTTTAGATATAAAAAATTTATTACTTGAAAACCATTCTGATGATAATATTTCTAATCTTGATAATGCCAAGCTTCATCTTTTTCATTTACAAAATCAGGAAGAAACTTTTTGGAAACAAAAAACTTATATTGCTTGGACTACTGAAGGGGATAGGAACACTTCTTTTTTTCATGCATTAGTTAACAAGAATAGATTGAGGAATCATATTCATAAAATTGTGGATCCTCAAGGCATGGTTTATTACTCAGATCAGTTGGTTGTTAACTCTTGTGTTGATTATTTTAAAGGTGTTTTTAACTCTTCTAAGTTAAATTTTCCTATTAATAATGCTAGTATTATTCCTAAGATGGTGGAGAGGATGATAATGTGCTGCTTATCATCCTCCTATGGAGGCCGAAGTTTGGAATATTATTAAAGGCATGAATGGGGACTCTGTCGGTGGGCTTGATGGTTTTACTACAAATTTTTTTGTTAAAACTTGGGATATTATCAAGATTGATATTATTGATGCTATGCATGATTTTTTTAAAGGTAACCCCTATCCTAAGTTCTTTTCGTCCACTAATATTGTGCTTATTCTGAAAAAAGATAATGCTATATACTGGAATGACTTTAGACCTATTAGTCTGTGCACCTTATTTAACAAATTAGTGGCCAAAATTATTGCTTCTAAATTGTCCTCTATCTTGCTGAAAGTTATTTCTATAAACCAAACTAGTTTTGTTAAAGGTCGTAGTATTTTTTATATTATTCTTTTGGCTCAAGAGATGGTTCATAATCTGAATGCTAAAGTTACTGGTGGTAACATCTTATTCAAACTTGACATCACTAAAGCGTATGATAATTTGAAGTGGGATTTTCTTTACAAAATTTTAAATTTGATGGGGTTTAATGAATATTTTTTATGCTTATCAAGAATAGTGTTGAAAACTGCTTTTTCTCTATTATTATCAATGGGAATACTCACGGTTTTTTCCTTTCTAAGCATGGGTTGAGGCAAGGTGATCCTCTATCCCCTTCTCTTTTTATTTTAGCTATGGAATATCTTTCTAGAGGGATTGAGAATCTTTGTTGTAGTCACCCGATGCTTAATTTTCATACTATTGGTCCTATTACTCACCTTTGCTTTGCTGACAACTTTATTATTTTTTCTAATGCTTCGATTAAAAATGTTTAATGTCTTGCTAGATTTTTATCTTCTTTTCAACGTATTAGTGGTCTTTCTATTAATAGGGAAAAGAGCAACTTTATTAATGGTTCTTCTTTGAGTAACACTTGAGTTAATGGCATTAAAAAGGTTTGTGATTTTAACCAGTCTTTTCTTCCTATTAAATACCTTGGCACACCTCTCTTTAAAGGGAGAAAAAAAGATTTTTCTATTTGATAATATTTTTACTATTTTCCAAAAAAGTTTTCTTAATTGGTCCTCTAACTTTCTTTCTTATGGTGGTAGATTAACCTTGGTAAAAAGTGTTTTAAATTCTATTCATATTTTTTTGTTTCACACTTTGCAACCTCCTGCTAATGTTTGTATGAGAATGGAAAAAATGATTAATAAATTCTTCTGGGGGGCCACTAATAATAAATCTTGTATTAATTGGGCCTCTTGGAAAAAACTGTGTGGTGTTTATAATGAAGGGTCGTTGGGGTGTAAGTCTATTTTTGACACTGCTCATGTTTTCTCTCATAAACTCTGGTATGCATTTAGATCTAATAATAGTTTATGGGCTAAATTTATGAATGCAAAATATTGTAAGAATCTTAGTCCTCTAGCTTGCCATTATAAAAGTTCAGACTCTCGGGTTTGGAAAAGACTGTGT